CATCCTTACCTGTGAACCAAGACTTCCAAAACACAGCCTATCACTTCTTATGAGGCAGAGACCCCTATATATATTGCTATGAATATCCACCACACAGGATCATGAGATTTTAGATATGGGCATCTTCACGGCTCAAAAGTGATGATTAGATTTTGAGTGAAAAGAACTTAGTAACTTGTCCTGTGACTTTTGGGGTCAGTTAACCATTCCAAGGCTCAGCTTCCGCATCCGTATATTGGAGACTAATCCTTGCACTGCTTCAGTACATCAGAGTTATTGAAACTCAGATGAAATGTGTGAAGGATGATATTTTAATAAGAACTATATAAATATAAGGTGTTAGTCTTATTACTACTGAGGTGTTAGAGGTAGCCTTCCTTGGAGCCCAAGCAAAGGTCAAATTATTGTGTCAGAGAGACACAAAGATCTGACATCGGGGGTTACCATTATAGCTTTTGATAGACTGGCAACAGCAAGCACTTTCCTGCCTCTATGAAAATCAACCAGAAAACTATTTTGCAGGAAGAGGAAGTATGTTGGCTTCTTGGTAGGTTCGACGTGGGACTGGTTGAAATTACCAAGTACAGTATTCTCAGACTGTCTTTGGCTTTAGAACCTGACCTGTCTTCCATAATCCCTACTATAAGCATTCACTCAGGTACCCTTGAATACAAGGGAAGCAGATCAGAAGAACTTCTGCAGGTTTACTTTTACAGATGCTCTTGAGGCTAGAAAACCACTAATAAATTACTCCTTTCTCAGCTAGTAACACTTTGGGCGTTTTCACTGACTGCAAGCAGGTATATCTGGCTTAGCAGATTCCTCTGGTTGAAGTAATACTACCAGGAGTTTCTTTTTGGAGCTTTCATAGATGAGTTATTGGTACTTGTAATCTAGTCTGCTAATGAGGTAACAAATTAATTATTTGAAGTTAAGATGGAGGAAGACAAATGACTACCTGGGAGAAATAAAAGTGCATTCTTTAGAGATCCAGTGGGACACTATTTGGAAAAAGATAAATAATTTAGGATCATAAGGAACATATTTTGCCTCATTTCACCATAAGTACCCTGGAACACAGCTTCCAATAACTCTTCATAAACTAGGTATTAGATTAAGTGGTGTTAAGTCATATTTCTGCTGGCCCATCCCTTAGTTCAAAGTCAAAGATGCATGCTTAATCATGCATGTCGGTTTTATCAATTCACCCTCATTTTGTCACATATGGAAATAAAGCACTTTCTCTAGATTTTGAAAATTAGAAGTGTTGAGTATTCATTGGAGTATCAACAGCAAAAGTACAACACACTTAAATTAGGATAACCTAAGGAGCGTTTAATTAGAAATATATAGATGGTGTGGAGGGGGAATCACAAATGGTTGTTCAGGAATCCAAGTCTAGCAGCACAGCAACAGCAGACTTGTCACCGTACCCATCACACCTAGACCTAAAAACATAAGAAGGGGTTACTGGAACCAGAAAGAAAGATAATTAGGAATAGCAAGTCATCTTGAGAGGAGTAGGGACATTCAATTAAGAGTGACAAGCCAACCTGAGGTGACCTCATAGAGAAGGAGCCATGAAAATAAATACCCTAACCCAGCTCTTCTCCCCTTCTCTGGTATTCTGCGGGGACTTCCAATTGGTTGAAACCAACCAGAAGCTAGAGGGCTCAGGAACCCTCTGGGGCAGAAAGCAGGATGAAATGTGATGGTGGAGGGGGAAGCAGAGATATTTGGCATAAATTGGTATGATGTAAGCAATTTGTTATCCTGCAGGGTCAGGTGTTGGGTATGCAGTCCACTAATAGAGAAATAAATAATTAAGATTACGTAAATGTGATTTTAGCCCATGTTTTGAGGAACAAGTTGGTGAGCCAGCTTCCTCCAGACAGCTACTCTTGCGAAAACCCCCATTATCTGATAGGTGTAGAGTTACAAAGATTTGGTAGTCAAAGACAGACTAGCATACCTCTTCTCCAGTGTACATACAGTACGTCCTCACTTAACGTCCATAGGTTCTTGGAAACTTCGACTTTAAAGCTAAACGACATATAACAAATCAATTTTTTTTTTCCTCATCAACATTATAACTGAATAATGTTGGACATCGTTTCCTTTAAAGTCACAGCTTCTAAAAATATATTGACCACGTGAGGTGAGGATTTACTATATTACGGTCACTGCTTATTTTCCTGGTTGAGTTCCTTTTGGATTGCTATCTGTCATGGTGTCCTAAGCTAACAAGCATCCAATCAATATTTGTTGATGTGGAACTCAGGAAACAGGCCTCTCTGGATTCAATTCCAACTTAGGAGTATTTCCACCAAACAAACTTTCCAAGCTCCCTGAATATACTCTAAAAACCACTGCTCTAAAATGGAAATGACATAGGATTTTTAAATATTATTCCATGTATTTTGGAGCTGCCTAGGGATGAAGGTGTTGTATAGTCCAGCCTGAGAACTGAGTTTCTCTGCCAAGGAAACCAATTAAAGTTCCGGTCAAACAAAAGTGATTGCTCCTTGCTTCTGTGTTGAGAGGTATGGGAAGTGCTACCAGAACCAACTGTTAATCAGGCTCTTAAAAAGAGAATCTGACTAACATGGAGAAACCCGTCTGTACTAAAAATACAAAATTAGCCGAGCGTGGTGGCGGGCGCCTGTAATCCCAGCTACTCGGGAGGCTGAGGCAGGAGAATCGCTGAACCCGGGAGGCAGAGGCTGCAGTGAGCCGAGATCGCGCCATTGCATTCCAGCCCGGGGAACAAGAGCGAAACTCCGTCTAAAAAAAAAAAAAGAGAGAGAGAGAGAATCTTTGACAGCAAAGCTGTTCTCTTCATTTTGGATGCAGACATTGGGAAAGTAGGCCACCTCTTAAAATATTTGCTAATGATTTTTATGAGGCTGAAAGAATACATAAAACTTAAAACAGGGGATCTAGAAACAGGACTTTGGACAACCCCACCACCACCAATGAGATCAAACAAATCATTACACATGCTGATTCATTTTTATAAGCAACAGCGCCCTCTTGTGATTAACTTCTGAATAAGGGTTTGATGGCTTGGCATGACATTGTGGCAAAGAACCTCATTGCCACTACAAGAATGAAAAAGTGTTCTTCAAATTTGGCTGGGTAGGAAAAAACATCATACAATCACAAGGTGTCCAATACAACCTCCTTTGGAAGCAATGAGTGTGACACCATGGCATAGATCAGGCCAATAAGCTATAAAAATAATTGGAATGTCTACTTTCTTAAACGTGTGTGTGTCTGTGTGTGTTTATACACGTATACGTGTGTGTGTGTATACGAAGTTATTCATGTAGACCTCAGCTTTTCGAAAGATACATGTGCACATCCGTGCGGGCGCACGCGCGCGCGCGCAAACACACACACACACACACACACACACACACACACACACACACAGAGCTATAAAAGACTAGGATTTGGTCCTTAAGTAACATCTGAATCACGAAAGATTCATTAACTGGTAAAAGCACATTTGGTACACATAACTATTTGGTAGTCAAACTATCTGATTAAGCAGAATAGTTCATTCATTTCCTGCCAATGTGAGAAAACCATTAATTGTGTATGACTGTAAAACTCACCATAGTACTTCTGGAATTTTCACAGATGATTAAAAAAAAAAAAAACCTAAAAAACAAAAACAAAAACAAAACAAAACACAAAAAACTCACCATAGGTAACTAGTAGAGCAGCTAGATTAATCTTTGAATAATCCCTGGCAAGGGAGGGTTAACAATATTAATGTCCTGGAATGAATTTGTGTACTTCAAACAACAAAGCAGGGCTAGGAATAGTTAGGGGATTTCAGAAACATCTAGACTAGCTGCACATGCAACAATTTAAAAATTAGGAGGTTCTGGGATGGGTGTGGTGGCTCACGCCTGTAATCTCAGCACTCTGGGAGGTCAAAGCAGGCAGATCGCTTGAGCTCAGGAGTTCAAGACCAGCCTGGGCAACATGGTGAAACCCTGTCTCTACTAAAACTACACAAAATTAGCCAGGCGTGGTGGTATGCACCTGTAGCTCCAGCTACTCAGGAGGCTGAGGTGGGAGAATCGCTTGAACCCAGGAGGTAGATATTGCAGTGAACTGAGATCACGCCATTGCACTCCAGCCTGGATGACAGAGGAGACCCTGTCTCAAAACAAAACAAAACAAACAAACAAACAAAAAGGAGATTCTGTTTGGGCCAAGGCTTTCAACCAGCTATAAATGAGAGGGAAAGCTACAAAAAGCAAAATCTTTGGAATTCGTGTTTGCGACTGTAACAGAAGGAGCACCTTTGAGTGTACACCATGTAGAAAAATCTGTGGGGCAGTGATATGGTGTTTTCACTTACAATTACTCATTACTGACTTTACGCAGGGGACTAGATGAAAAAATAAAGCTAAAATTTGCAATTGGCTATCCAGAATCAACAACATTATTAGACAGTTCTCATTATTTGGATCCTAAGTTTTACCACTAGAGATTCTAAGCTTTAGATTTTGCATAGGTTCATATTAGGATTTAGAATACTCAAAATTGTTTTGGTTGTTTTATCTTTTAGCTGTAACATAAATTTTTTATGGAAGTTTTTAATATCTTATTTTTAACAAGTCCTTGACTATTTTAGAGAACTATGCATGTTCATTCTTAATCATTAGGAATATTAGCTCACTAACCTGCTTGAAACATTATTAATGAATTCTTCCCCAAATAGAAGCCAGTTGTTTCCTTTCTCAGCCATTAACACAATGTTGTCAAGAAATTTATTATCTCAGAAATATCTTCCAATAGGTAGTTTTCTTCACTGGAAAAAGTTTACATTACTATATGTTTTCTATCTACTATCAGAGTGATCAAAGCATGGAGAAACCGATTCCCTGGGAAAAGATGACTTGTTGACGTGCAGATTGGTAATCTATCTGTAAATGAGCAGGGGTTTTTTCCACACAGGCTGAAGAGATACACAACAGACCATCCTTACAACATATATCTTTAATTAAATTTATATTGGTGGATTTAAAAAACATTAAGTGAGAAGACGACAGCTAGGGAAATAAGGTATCCTGTGAATATTTATAATAAAGTATTTAAAATTTAAAAAGAATAAGAAACATCAATTGGCTTTTTGTAACTTAAAAGAGACTAACCAAGTGTTGTTTCCCAGTTTTGTACAAGCAGAGACCACAGGAAGATTCTTACATAAGCAGCACAGGGAAGAGAATTGTTAATTCTGTGTGTGTGCTTTGTTTCTCAGAATTGTTTGGAAGAACTTTGTCCAGTCAGAAATGAGTAAAAACAAGATGTAAGAAACATTAAAACAGGGGGCATATGGTCTTAAGAGATAATCTTGGAGAATATAGCAAAAGACAAATTCCTCCATTAGATATTATAATTTGGTATGTAACATGAACATTTAAAATTCTGATTAAAGTGACTAAAAGGGTTTGTTTTTTAAAAAAATTAAAACAGAACTTAGGGGATAAAACTCAAAATAAATTTACTCTCAGTAGTAACTTGATGTAGGAATATAAATTCTCTCACTTCGATAAACATGAATATAAAATATTGCTGTCTGTATTCTAAGGTTTCCTACATTTTCTGTAAAAGGTGATTCATGCTATGTCATATGTAAATGACTCAACATTTTGAGCTAAAAGGCTGTTCACAATATACACATCCTTTACTTACAAAGCAAAATAGGCTTAACACCTTTATATTAAAAACCTGGGATACAGCAGGATTAGTAGCACCATGAAAAATAATTCTTCCTACAAACTGCAGTCTTCTATTTTACTCAGTGTAACTCTTCTCTTAACTGAATTTTTAATGTATCATTTTAGTAACTGGGCAAAATATATAATTTTCATCTTATAATTCTTGGAGAAAATCATTCTGGACCCAAAAAGTAAATTCACTTTCTTATTTCTTTAGTAGAAAAATAATAGAGACCTTGCTCTGTTGCATTGCTGAGGTACATCTGAATCTTCATGGTTACTAGTCAGCATGTTATCTTGATCATATGTAGTAGCACCATTGACGGCAGCAGTAGTAAAGTTGGGGACAATGAGACATTGCATCCTAGGAATTTTATATATTTATATATATATATATATGTATATATATATATCACACTTTAAAACACACAAGGAATTCTTCAAAATGTTATGTCCTCTTCATGCATACTTGACATCTGCTAATTCGTGTCCTCAAGTCTCCTGCTTTCAGTGTTTCTGACTGAGGTTTACTGGGAAATAAGAAATAAGACAATCAGATCCATATTTTCTGGTATTTCAATTCTGTTATTGGTTCAAATTTATAACTAAACATTCTCTTTGTGTTAAGTAGCTCTCTTGGTGACTTAATGGTTTACTTTTCAGCAATATGATCTAATGCAGTGACTAGTATGGTTTAAGAACCATTAGTGGTCACAGATATTTTGTAACTATTCTCCCCAACACTATTATCTTTGTATATTTGTGTCTCCTTCTTATTTTCTATTTTTTTCTCTTTCTCTCATACATTTTTCTAATATTCACAGGATGAGGGAAATCTGGGCAACTGATGATGAATAGATAACAAGGACCATAAGAAAAATATCAAGTAGTGATAATTCAAAAGCAACACAGAAAAATAAATTTAAACTGAAAAAAATCAATAGATTGAAGTATCCTGAGGTACATATATTATATATGTCTTGCTCATTAAATCAGAATCTTTAAAATATCCTGGGAAAGGAGGCCACTGAACTGACAGGGAGAAGACAGACTGTAACTTCATTTCCTGGGGTGGCCTCAATCTAGTTGAACAGCTGCTGACTTATTAGGAAGGTCACATAACCTTTCTTTATCTCTGTTTCATTATTGAAGGATTGCTACTAAGGTATCACAAACCAAACTCACCTAATATTAATCAAGTCTGTTTTTCTGACCTGAGTCATGTATATGAGAATAACAAGCAAGAAAAAAGTACACAATCCAATACATTCCTAACATTTGTTGAGAATAAACCACCCATAAATTGTCTCTTTCTTCCCTAGCATCTCTGAAGGAAGCTTTGGACCTGAATTAAAGCTATAAGCACTTTACCTGAACATGTCTGACACATCTACAGTTGCCAGCCAAAAGCTGTAGGAGTTGGCATAGTAGTTACAGGTACCCCTCCCATGACATTCGATGAAGGGAGCTGAACGAAACTCTTCCAAGCAGGAACCGGGAGAGGCTAGGGCTTGACCTGAGCCTTCTGCCCCTGCACTTGTATGCTATAAAAGACAAGGAAAAATGTGCCGCAATACCCATCTGCCATAATAGCTTAGTGAATATCCAAAGATGTGTGCTGGGCTTGGCCAGATTCAAATCCAGTGAACGAACAGGCCCAGAGGTAAGACAATAGTATCCACACCAAGGGTAGTCAAAAAAAGTAATAGGCAGATTATGAAAATATGTTACAAAAAATGTGTGAGGGGGAACAGAGTGCTTGGATAGAAGCTGTTTGAAGTTTAAGCTTCTTGTTATGCAAATGACAGGGATTCCTCATATTGGGAAGAAATGTAGATGGAACGGACAGTCAGCTATTATGACAAATGTAAGGAAGAGTGTAAAATACCATCATGAAGGAATAACCAATCCACAGAGAATCCCATCCCTGAGGACAACGGGGAATCTGGATCGTCTGACTGTGAACTGCGATCACCACAGCTGGAGCTTCACATACTGCACATCTGGTAAAGGAAAAGGAAAAGGAACATAATCTACAGAGTGAGCACGTGAAAAGTAGCCGTCCTGCTTCATTGGAAGCCTTCCTGGTATGGAAGCCAATTAATGTGTCTTTCAATGATCACAAAAGGTGAAGAAATGCACTTTGAGGATTGCATTTGCTAAGTATTGTCTCCCAATATACATAATAAACTGTAAACTTTTGTCAAAAAACTGCAGAACCAGTGCAATGGCCTTTTGATATTCCATTCTGCCCTAAATTTCTATTCATACTTCCTATAGTCAATGCCTTAATTGCCATAAGAGTTTGGCTTGCTGTATTGCACATACTACTTGTTGTCAAAGTGCTCAATTGGAGGGGAGACATTTAGTAATGCTGAAACTGTGGTAAGAACAATGTCAGAAAGACTCGAAAATATAAGAAACGGACACTTTCTCAATCTCTACTCATTATTCTTGGTCCAAAGGACATTTATTAAACATTTGACTATATATGGAGAAGTACAATATATCCAGAATGCTGGGCAGGTACCCAGGCACTTGGAGATGTGGCTGAAATCTACAAAATCAAGTAAAATAGCAACAGAATGAATATAGCTGAGCCTTCCATATCTTTAATGAAAAACATGAGTGGACCTCTTGACATATTACTGAGGCCAGTTTTGCAGTTTACCTAACAAAATAAGTAATACATTTAGACAAGGTTTTACTCCCAAGAGTTGGAACTGACAAAATTACACACACACACACTCACACACTCCCAGATTCACAAAGGATTCAGGAAAATGTATTAAAAAGGGCACCATGAATTTGCTACTAAGGCTGAACCAGCTTTAATCTTTATATTTACTATCAAAGGAAGCAGACTTTCCAGCAATTCATCCTTTATGGTTACTGAAATCCTGGGTCATGATCAGAATAAAAATGGCAATAACCAATATTCCTGGGAGACTGAGTTAAACTAGGTTTCAAAATGGCAAAACTCTATTAATGGTATCCTCTTAGTTACTCATGCTCCAAATCTCAGCTACCATCTTCTTCCCATAGCTATCAACTGTCAAATCCTATCTAGCCTAATAACGTGACACATGTACCCTACTGTGAGTTCCAATTTACTCACATCAGGGCTATAGCAATACCATTCAATCCAACTGTTCTCTCTACCTCAAGACTATCCCTTCTGTAATCCATGTTACACATTGATGGCACTATAATCTAATCTGAAGTGTAGCTCTAAAATATTTCGGGGCTCCTTGTTACATATCAAGTAAACTTCAAACTACAATTTGGTACAGAAGGCCTTCTACCATCTGGGCCCAAGCTAACTTTGCAATCTTTTCTCCCAACATAACCTTTACATACTACACCCTAGATACATTACTTTATTACCTATTGTCATTTTATCTGCCTAGTATATATCTCCCCTTTATAACTGCCTGTGCCTCAAGTCCGTCTAGTCATTCAAGGACTGATCAGTTCAAGACATATTTTTTCCATATGGTCATCCCAGATTTCTCCATTTGAAATTAAACATCTCTTTCCCTATGCTTTCATAACATTTTTATTATATTTATTGTAGAACTTAGCCCAAATCTGATATATATTAGACAAATTTATGTAATAAATAAGTACTACACTGTCAGTTATCTGGCTATTACACTATGTCTATCATGGGGGCCTGGTCAAAAGCAGACCACCAATAAATATGAGTCAAATTAAATACTTAATTGAATAGTAAGAGGTACCTCTGTTCTACCTAACCTAGGAGGAATATCATCAGATTGTTAGCTTTGGACTCAAATATGACTAGCTAATTAACTGGGGATTGGTAAAAGTCACAGCTAAATCAATACCTTACCGACTAATGAATGGCTGGATGCTCTGGCCCTTTAGGGGTTGCATGCTCACTGGCATGGGCTCTGGGGTAGAGAGCCAGTAAGAATAGTCATTTCTTGAAGCGAAGTTGCAAACATTATTGATGTTGCAGAACATGAAAGGCATGGTACTAAAGCGACGAAGGCAGCTGCCAGCCGTCCCTAGAAAGATTTGGAGAGAAAACAATAAAGGACTGCATGATGATGATACTTTAGTTTCTTCTAAAACAATAGCAGACAGCCTTTCGAGGAAACTTGCCAGCTTTTCATAGGTAATAAATATACTATATTTCTTAAATCTAAGATTTACTCATATTTTAACATTTATAAAATTAGGATGTGTTTTATAATGTATGCTAATATTTATTGTGGTAGCTCATTATATTATTTCCCAATGCTGTTTTTAAACTAGTGATGCATCTTATAAACAATGGTGTCTTATGCAGAATATTTAGTAATTCATTGTGTGCAAGTGAAGGACACATACTGAGTCCTTATGATATATTATCAATATTTCGTGCTCCAGGCTGCCCTCTCTTCTTCTAAGACATCCTCAGTGTGTATCTTGTGTGAATTTGCAATCTCCTTAGGCCTAGGGACAATAGTAATACTGGCCAGTGTGCAGAGCCACCGCAGACAGGTTTGAAGAATACGTAAAAAGGAAAAAAAATAAGATAGGAAGGAAAGATGTGAGGGGAAAGCAAACCAAAAAAAGAAAGAAACTAATCTTTGAAATTCAGAGCTAGTAGGACAAGAGAGGTTATTTTTACTTGTGATCAAGCCTTTCTTTTCTCATTTACTCACAAAAGAATGATGAAAAATGCACTTACACTTTTGAAAGTTAAATATCTAAAGTTTTGATATCTAAATTTCATCATAAGTTTAAATTGATACTGTGCCAGTATTAAGATATTAGCTATTGTCTCTCAGCTCCACACCCACTCTTCTGTATTCCACTTTGTAATAGTAGGGACTGGGAATTTGCAAACCACATTTCTACCTTGCCAGCTTTCATTTATGGTGTTTTGTGAATATTGATATCTAAGAACAAACTTTTATATCACTCTTTTAAATGCATCCAATATAATGATTTGAGATCTAACATTTACCATTATAGAAAATATATAAACTTGTCTTTAACAGTTGGAAATTATACACTGCTCCTTCTACATTTAAAAATTATATTTCCCTTCCACTTTTCTCACACAGTTTTATCCTAATGTAACATATTTTTATTTTTGAAAGTTTTTTATTGATCATGCTATCATATTTCTCAAAAATTAAAATTGAATACTTTTTAAAACTTTTTGTGACTATAAGACTTTACATGTTAAACGTTTTATTTTGACCTGTCATTGTTATTATTATTAATTCATAACTGATAAAAATATATATATTATAAATTTTTATATAATTATTACAATAAACTTTTATTAGAAATGTATTTCTTAGTAAGATGGATTAAAAGTGAATTACAGAGCTTGAGTTAATGGAGACATTAACAAAACTATTAATTTTTTATTTACGCAAAATAATGGGGTACATGAACATTTTTTGTATGTATATAATGCACAGTGATCAAGTCAGGGTATTTAGGGTATACATCACGCATGTACAATATTTTTTTTTAAGTATAGTCATCCTCTTCTGCTATCAAATATGGAATTAATTCCTTCTATCTTACTGTATGTTTGTATCCCTTAACCCACTTCTCTTCATCCTCCCCCTTCCCCACACTTACCCTTCCCAGTCTCTGCTATCTGTCTTTCCATTCTCTGCCTCCATGTGTTCAAATTTTTAGCTCCCACATATAAGTGAGAACATGTGATACTTGTCTTTTTGTGCCTGGCTTATTTCACTTAAGACAATGAGTTCTACTTCCAACCATGTTGCTGCAAATGACATGATTTCATTTTTTTATAAGGCTGAATAATATTCCATTGTGTATATATACCACATCTTCTTTATCCATTCATCCTTTGCTGGATACTTAGGTTGATTCCATATCTTTGCTATTGTGAATAGTGCTACAATAAACATGTGAGTACAACTATCCCTTTGATGTATTATTTTCTTTTGGGTAAATATCCAGTAATGGGATTGCTGGATTTAACAGTAATTGTATCTTTAGCAAAACTGTTATTTTGAATTATCCCTTTGAATTTGTCTGTCAGAGGTTTTCATACTTCAAGGCAATGTGCAAGAGTATGACTCTTACAAAGTGGAGAAGGCATGACAGTGAAAGGAGATATGGGAACGGAGATTGCCCAAAGCACATCTGCTAAAGTCAGACTGACTTTAGGAGAAAATACATATAAAAGTCAAGGAGTTGAAATTTGATTTTTTAAAAAATTATGCCTCGGTGCATCTTGGAAATTCTTCATATATTCAAAGGGGTATGCTTATCTCAGACTGAAGATGACTGACAAAAGACTAATAGATCTCAAACCTGTACTGTCAGAATTATTTGGAATTTTTATACAATAGATTTGGCATAGGACTAGGAGTCTTCAGAAAATTCCCTAGGTTGAAAATCATTGATTTAGTCAAATTTATGCATTTAAAAAACTGGTTAAGAAAAACCTGACTGACTCACAGTCCTGTAAGAGTGAACAACAGGGGAAAATTTAAAAAGAAATGAATTTAGAATTGGCAGGTGTTGGATTCAAGTCTTACCTCCATCACTTTCTAACTGTATAAGGTTTCAGTAAGTTATTTAACCTGGTAGCCAGTCTCTTTGTGTGTAAAATGAAAAAGCAGAATATTTCTATACATTTTTCTTAATCATAGTTGTGTAAATTAAATTAGACAATGGGCATGAAAATGCTTTGTACATTATAAAGTAATTTAAAAAGAAAACTATTCTACTGCCTAATTTGGGACAGAGCTGAAAATACCTGGTCTTATAAGGAAGAGAAAAGAAAGGTAAATAAAAGGAAGGCCCATAATGATGGAAGTATCTGGAGTATCTGGTTGCACCTGTGGCTGCCCACAATGATGCAGAATTCTGGGATATAGTCTCCAAATTTTTGAAGAGAGAGTGATCCCATATACTCCCAATGCCCTCTATACCCTACAGTTATAAGACTTTAATAGACTAATGGTTCTCAGTATGTTTTATTTTTCTCCCAGACAGAAAAGCTTTAGTATTTAATCCATCTTCTCCGTCCTCTTTCTTACATTGTATAATCCTTCCACTAATTCAACACAGCCTGCATTTATTCGATCAGGAGGTAATTGTTTCTTTAACATCAAAGTTACAGCTGCCTCTATCTTTGCTTAGTCATCAAGATACCTCCAATGTGATCCTTGTGTGAGCCCCAGCAAAGCCTCTGCAATCCAGGACCATTCCTAGGATCTTAGGCTCTGTCATGGCCTTCCCTGTGTCTGAGGCCTAAACTACCAGAGGGTCTATTTATAGACTCTAAATCTGACTGTTCTTATTCGAGCAAATACATGGATTCCGAAAAGTTATAATTACATGCTGATAGCAGATTCTATCTTCTCTTTGCATTACATTTTTTAATTTCGTAGTGCTCAAAACTTCTAATGGTTCCTCTGTTGACCTGGTAGGTTAGGGATGTGAAGTTTAAAGTTTGATTATAAGTCTGACAGTGTAGAGAGATTGAACAAAAAAGAAGAATTTTATAGGAGAAAGACTAGAGAAAATTACCTGAAGATATTAAATTAATTATTTAGATATTTATTATTCAATTAAATTATGGAAAGATAATTTAATTACTAATTTAATGAAGATTTGTCAGTTATAAAATTTAAAAATATGTAACCAAGTGAAAAAGAGAAAGAAAAGTGCAGAGGAAAGTTGAAAAAGAGAAAAAGGAAATATAAGTGGAAAAAAAAGAAGACAGAGAAGAAAGCTATTGGGCAAACCCTTACATTATTTGGTTTCATAAAATGACCTATGACCACTGACTTACATGTAAGTGAATATCCTTACTCTGGTGGGCCAGAACTGGCTGGCAGGTGTGGCCATATGCCTTCTAAAAGTAGGGAGTAAAGCTGACCTCCGGGGTCTCTGTTGCTGCAGAACCGTTTCCACAGAATGAATGGCCCAGCCAATGAGACCTCAGGAAGCTTCTCATCATAGAGATTCCAGAAACTGGGAGCCCAGACTATCTTCTTAAAAGTCTTTATGAAGGCAAAGGGGATAGTCAGTCTTAAAATAGGCAGCCCTGCTGGGAGTGGTGGCTCACGCCTGTAATTCCAACACTTTAGGAGGCAGAAGTGGGCAGATCACGAGGTCAGCAGTTCAAGACCAGCCTGGCCAACATGGTGAAACCCCGTCTCTACTAAAAATACAAAAATTAGCCAGGCATGCTGGCGGGCGCCTGTAATCCCAGCTACTCGGGAGGCTGAGGCAGAAGAATTGCTTGAACCTGGGAGGCAGAGGTTGCAGTGAGCCGAGACCGCACCATTGCACACCAGCCTGGATGATAGAGGGAGACTCCGTCTCAAAAAACAAAAAAAACAAAAAAACACCACACAGCCCCAGGTAAGACAATGGGACTTCAACATCCAAAGTCAAAATTCCAGGAAAAGAATTCATGGGGATGGAAAAGTCCTTGAGAGTGATTCAGTCCAGTGTCATCCCATCAACTTTGCTGTCCACCCCAGTATAGAAAAGATACATGGGAGCACTTTAAATGAAATGGATTTTGTACAGAAATGTCATACTTTATATAGCTTTAAATGACTCCAGTAATACTTTATAAAGCTAAGGTACTTATTTTAGGAACTACAAACTAGCATAATTAAGCAATGACCTTACTTTCTTTGATCTATGAACCAAGATTCTCTTCAGAACTTATGAACTTGATGAAGACCAGTTTCAAAGATGAGGTAACTATCTCCCATGAATTATAAACACTGCACACTCAAGCAGCTGCTATACTGCAAAGAGCCCAGTGAAACTGTTTCATTAATAGCTAAACTAACTAAAAGTAAATGTGGCCTTTGTGAAATGATTTGCTTTAGGCCAAGAATTGCACTCATAAGAGCTAATTAATGCTTTTAGTTTAAGGTTAAATATTATTTATTTAAAAATCATGGTGAATATATTCAGTTGCCTTTGGCATGGTTTTCAGTTCGGAAGCCCCAAAAGAATAGAGAGAGGCACTTTGGCCAAGGCTACTCTAGAACCCAACAGGATTTCTGAAACAAAAACAAAATGCACAGTAGGAAATTAAATATTGATTATCTCACCCAAGTCTTGACCATGGGCTCTTTTATTTCCTTGTACATACAGGAGAGAAAAGCCTTCATAGATCTGAAGTGTTCCCTGCGGGCATTGTGGTGCATCCGTTGTCTGGCTGTGGCGTGTAATAAGAAATCCATGTGCAATAGAGGAGGTTCCAGGGGGACCTGGGGGACCTTGCAATCCATCTGGCCCGGGGGGACCATCCAAACCACGAGTACCTATTTCCACGAAACCATCAGTATACAAGATTAAGTAAGCTCTGATCCACTCTTACGGTTATTGACAAAACATTATTACCTCATTTGACTAGTTAACTTAGTTGATATTTATAGAGTGTCTATAAAGGCATTGTCAGATATCATGGGCTAGGAGACAAATAAAATATGCTTATTTGGAGAGTCTGTATGTTATTTAGTCTCTCGTTGTACTAAAAGAATCTGAACTCCATGACCAATTTTCAGCCTGCTGTTTTGTTCATCAATGAGAAAGGAAGGGTGTGGTTGCCATCAATCTACCAGATTCATTGCTGAAAAACATTTTCCTTTGAATCTGTCTGGGGAAATTATTCTCAGGCATACATTTTTGTGTAGAGAACAGGCAGGGCATTCTAAAGAAGTATTTTCAAAATGCCCATTTTCAATCTACCACTGACTTCCCTTCTTGATTTAGCCTCTTGGTTTGAGTTCATTTAATAATTTTCTGTATACACAGGCCTTTGGACAGTGTGTATATAAATTTTCATTTTAGGGAAACTTCACAGAAACTCTTGTGATGAAGACAACACTAACTCGTTATTTCCCTAGAAACATAGCATTAATGAAATGGCAGGGCATTGACTCTAGGAAGGCTATAGGTATTACCACTCTGCCTTGCTGCCACTGATACTTGAAATACAAACTCTTTATGTTTATTTAGAGTTATATTTATATAATCTAGAGTTGTTAACATATATTACTGATCTATATAATATATGATCCTCTATTTCTATTTTAGAAATCTTAACATTAGTGTATTTTTTATTTCAAGTTGACTCAAATTCTTTTTGGAAGTAGATTGAGTACAGATTGAAAATCTAATAGATATCAGACTCAGTATTATCAGGAGCACCTATTAATGCTCCTAATATCAATTTATCATCTCAACATGAAACGTCACCATGACTCTTAAAGGTCTATGGCAATCATTTAAACTGTTCGTTTATATTTGCTGCTCTTTATGAAAGAAATTACAGCCTGCTGTGATATTTTCAAATGTGGAAATATTCACAATAATTTCAAGCAAGGGATTTAAATCAACATATTGAAAATTTGCTGAACAAGTAAGTACAGTGAGTGCCTGGAAAATTCTCATCGTGAGAAAGAACTGAGTTTTCCACTGCTCTAAACACAAATAGAAGTAATCTTGTATGCTTCTCTTATAGTGACAAATCTCCTTATTATGTGCTTTGCTATTTTCCCCAGTTCCATATTCACCAGTCAGCTATGCTAACATCAAGGGAAGATCTCACAGCTCTAAGTGGAGGCCCTATGTCCAGAGGTCTCCCAAACTCAAAGACTTTCCCTCCACCAACAGCATGTTTTACTTGTCTTACCTGGCTGTCCTGGCAGACCTGGGTCTCCTTTGCGCCCTCCTGCACCATCAAAGCCAGGGAGTCCATTGCGTCCAGGATCTCCTGGAGGGCCAGTTGGACCTACAGGAAAATAAATGAGGTATTCAAATATGAGTAGAATATTCTCACATCTGGACAGATCTAGGGGACAAAAGATTCTCGAGACACTGAATTCCCAATTTGGTTTTGTCTTAAATCCAGAAAAATGAGAGATAACTCAAGTCCAGGACCAAAAAAGCCAACAAGGATTTAGCTTTAGTTTTAAATAATCCATTTGCTTCTGGGATGCTTTTAATGGAGTTGTGTTCTCTTGGTCTTCAGAATCAGACAAGAATGTAAGTCCCAACTTTTGTTTACCATCCCACCATAAGTTACTGCCAGGTATACTTTGTTTTTAATAAGACTGTCACTTGATTACTTAATAAGAGCGAAAGACTGAAGTTAGTTCTTGCTTTCTTTTATAATGATTAATGAAAGTTGGCTATAAGCATAGAGTAAAATGGCCACCTAGACACCAGTTAGTTTAAAAGACAAGGGGCTTCACAGTGGGAAACTGATAGCCCAACAAATCAGCTTTCAATCTTTCTGATGGATGATGTACAGAAAGCACCAGATCTTAAATACATTTTCATTTCATTATAATTTTTTTAACATTAACTAGTTGTTCAAATTGGAACAGCCAGAGGGGCTAATAGTAACCTGACATGGTCTAAAAGAAATTCAACCATGAGAAATTAACACTTTCAAGAAAAAAGAAAACGGAACTTGTGGTGGTCTGCTATTCTACTAGTTGCTTAGACTCCTATTGTCAGAGACAACCTCTGACATGTAAAAGGAGAACTAGGGAAATGTTCTCCAATGAATAAGCCTTAAAAGAATGATCTGCAGAGGAGTGATGAGAGAGGGCATCCTTGTCTTGTGCCATTTTCAAACGGAATGCTTCCAGCTTTTGCCCATTCAGTATGATATTGGCTGTGGGTTTGTCATAAATAGCTCTTATTATTTTGAGATATGTCCCATCAATACCTAGTTTATTGAGAGTTTTTAGCATAAAGGGCTGTTGAATTTTGTCGAAGGCCTTTTCTGCATCTATTGAGATAATTGTGTTTTTTTGTCATTGGTTCTGTTCATGTGATGGGTTACGTTTATTAATTTGTGTATGTTGAACCAGCTTTGCATCCCAGCAATGAAGCCGACTTAATTGTGGTGGACAAGCATTTTGATGTGCTGCTGGATTTGGTTTGCCAGTATTTCCTTGAGGATTTTCGCATCGATGTTCATCAGGGACATTGGACTAAAATTTTCTTTTTTCTGTGTGTCTGTCTCTCTGCCAGGTTTTGGTATCAGGATGATGCTGGCATCATAAAATGAGTTAGGGAGGAGTCCCCCTTTTTGTATCATTTGGAATAGTTTCAGAAGGAATTGCACCAGCTCCACTTTGTACCTCTGGCAGAACTTGCCTGTGAATCCATCTGGTCCTGGACTTTTTTTGGGTGGAGGGTATTAATTACTGCCTCAATTTCAGAACTTGTTATTGGCCTATTCAGGGATTCAACTTCTTCCTGGTTTAGTCTTGGGAGGGTGTAAGTGTCCAGGAATTTATCCATATCTTTTAGATTTTTTAGTTTATTTGCATAGAGGTGTTCATAGTATTCTCTGATGGTAGTTTGTATTTCTGTGGGATCGGTGGTGATATCCCCTTCATCACTTTTTATTGTGTCTATTTGATTCTTCTCTCTTTTCTTCTTTATTAATCTTGCTAGTGGTCTATCCATTTTGTTAATCTTTTAAAAAAACCAGCTCCTTGAACTGCACAAGATGGCTGAATAGGAACAGCTGCAGCCTCCAGCTCCCAGTGTGAGCGACACAGAAGATGGGTGATTTCTGCATTTCTAACTGAGGTACGGGGTTCATCTCATTGGGGTGTGTCGGACAGTGGGTGCAGGACAGTGAGTGCAGCCCAACAAGCAAGAGCCGAAGCAGGGTGAGGCATTGCCTCACCTGGTAAGCGCAAGGGGGAAGGGTATTCCCTTTCCTAGCCATGGGAAACTGTGACACATAGCACCTGGAAAATCGGGTCACTCCCACCCTAATACTGCACCTTACCAAGGGTCTTAGTAAACAGCACACCAGATTACATCCAGCGCCTGGCTCGGAGGGTCCCACATCCACGGAGCCTCCCTCATTGCTAGCACAGCAGTCTGAGATCTAACTGCAAGGTGGCAATGAGGCTGGGGGAGGGGCGCCCACCATTGCTGATGCTTAAGTAGGTAAACAAAGTGGCCAGGAAGCTCGAACTGGGTGGATTCTACCGCAGCTCAAGGAGGCCTGCCTGCCTCTGCAGACTCCACCTCTGGGGACAGGGCACAGCCAAACAAAAGGCAGCAGAAACCTCTGTAGATGTAAATGTCCCTGTCTGACAGCATTGAAGACAGTAGTGGTTCTCCCAGCACAGAGTTTGAGATCTGAGAATGGACAGACTGCCTGCTCAAGTGGGTCCCTGACCCCCGAGTAGCCTAACTGGGAGACACCCTCCACTAGGGGCAGACTGACACCTCACACCTCACACGGCCGGGCACACCTCTGAGATGAAGCTTCCAGAGGAATGATCAGACAGCAACATTTGCTGTTCAGCAATATTCACTCTTCTATAGCCTCCACTGCTGATACCCAGGCAAACAGGGTCTGGAGTGGACCTTGAGCAAACTCCAACAGACCTGCAGCTGAGGGTCCTGACTGTTAGAAGGAAAACTAACAAACAGAGAGGACATCCACACCAAAACCCCATTTGTACATCACCATCATCAAAGACCAAAGGTAGATAAAAACACAAAGATGGGGGAAAAAGTATTGCAGAAAAGCTGAAAATTCTAAAAATCAGAGTACCTCTCCCCCTCCAAAGGAATGCAGCTCCTTGCCAGTAACGGAACAAAGCTGGACAGAGAATGACATTGACGAGTTGAGAGAAGAAGGCTTCAGACAATCAAACTTCTCCAAGCTAAAGGAGGAATTCTACGAACCCAGCGCAAAGAAGCTAAAAACCTTGAAAAAACATTTGACGAATGGCTAACTAGAATAACCAATGTAGAGAAGTCCTTAAACGACCTGCTAGAGATGAAAACCATGACACGAGAACTACATGACAAATACACAAGCTTCATTAACTGACTCGATCAACTGGAAGAAAGGGTATCAGTGACTGAGGATCAAATGAATGAAATGAAGCAAGAAGAGAAGTTTAGAGAAAAAAGAGTAAAAAGAAATGAACAAAGCCTCCAAGAAATATGGGACTATATGGAAAGACCAAATCTACGTCTGATTGGTGTGCCTAAAAGTGACGGGGAGAATGGAACCAAGTTGGAAAACACTCTGCAGGATATTATTCAGGAGAACTTCTCCAACCTAGCAAGGCAGGCCAACACTCAAATTCAGGAAATACAGAGAACGCCACAAAGATACACCTCGAGAAGAGCAACTCCAAGACACATAATTGTCAGAT